CAGTTTCAGGAAACGAAATCCTTGAATTAATACATAAGAAAGTTGGACTTCGTACTTGCCTTGAAACTGTTATTAATAACTGTCATCTTTCAGACAAAAAAGGGTATTCTTCATTTGTGTCATTTAAGGAACTTCATCAACTTCTTAGTCCTCAATTTTCAATGGTACATACTATTGGCTCAGCTAAGTGGTGTGCTTCTATATATTCTATCACAAAAAAACTAAGTTCTAAAACTTCTTCTTTGTCAGCTAATCAAAACAAGATTCATGCACTAACAACAGAATTTAAAAAAGGACTTAAAAATTTCAAGTTAATATCAGCCCTTTCATCTTCTACGATAAAACAACCACCAAAGTAATTTAGAGTGTTGATTCAAATTTTCTGTTATAGTTGATTTTCTATCCTTTTTCTTATTAAAAGGGATTTGTCATAGCAATTCCAATACATGTCTTGAGTTTGTTACCTTTGGAATATGTTCTATTAACAAAATTGATTTGGTAGTTTCTGTTGAAGGATTGCCATGATAAACAATTGTGGACTATAACAGAAGGTTTAATCAATTATTGTTTAATCATTGAAAAGTTTATTTAGATTTAGAAGATTAAACTTTATGAATAGTGAATGATTATTTTAATAAATGGAGAATATTATATTAGAGAATTTATTTTTAAGATAAGAATAATGTAATTATTCTCTTTCAATATTTAAATTTAAGTTTTAACCCATTAAACATTTGATGTTACTGGCTATTAAAATTCTTATTGTTTTACTGAAACAAAAGTTTCAATGTAATTAATGTTTATATGATTATTTAAAATGAAATACGTTTATTGATAATATTATTAATATTGATTGTTTGTTCTAATTGAATTTTAATTCTTTTTAGTTTTAAATTTGATTAAAAGTGTTTACATTTGATATTGTTATGTTATAACTTTCATAAATATTTACATGCAACTAATATTTCAAATTAAACTTTGCACTTCTTTTCTTTTTAATAGATAATTTTTATTTAGATTTAGTTATCTTCATTTATTGTCTTTAGTTAGCTTTATTATTCTATCTTTTATTGTGTGAGTAGTTTATTTATTCTATTTGTTATATCCTCTGTTATTAGGAAGAAATAATTATTATAACTTAAATTAAAATGATAAATACAATGAATTTGAATATAATAAAGTTTCATTGCTATGAATTTGTGTTGATAATAGTTATTATTTGATAATTTCTGTAGTAAAAAAGTATTGATATTAATGGTTGTAAAGAAAGTAGATTTTTTTTTGGGGGGGGTTAATTCTACTATAACTTATATTTTCATGCACAATTAACTTGTTTGAGTTATTATATTGTTTTCATTTTTGAGAACTCAAAGTTCAAAATTGCCATCTCTAAAGTTCAAAATCCTTTTTAAGAACAAAATATATAAGATCAAATAATTTAACTTTATAATTCAAATGGAATTATCACCTTACGAAAAAACTTGCGAAGTACTTGGGATTCAATGTTCATTTGCTATGTTAGGCAAACTTGAACATATAGAAAAACAGTGGGAACAATTGATGAATATGTATCCTTATTGCACTGATTATGAAGGGGTTAATACTACAACAAATAACCCATCAGTTGAAGTAGATATTCAGAAGAAATATTCATTAGAATCTATTTCACAAACACTTGATTTAATGATAAAAGAATTATCTAAAGAAATTGCAAAAACCCGTACATTTGGTTCCACTAATAAAAGTGCATTGTTAATGTATTCTTACGTAGTCTTTAATGGTCAAGAATACACAGTTTTTGCCATGTATCAATGTCATTGCAAAACAGACTTTAAATCTGTTGTTCTCTTAGCACAATCATTTTTAAACCTCTTCAATAACGAAAAAGACAAAGTATATCCTATTGAAACAAGTTATAAAGTACTTACAGATAAAGGATGTTTACCATCTGCTAATCAAAGACAAATAATTATGGAAAATCTACCAAAAAATGTTTTAAGATACGACTGTAGTCATCTCAAAGATCCTCATTCTATTCAATCTGTTTTAGATGATCCAATTCCTAATTGTATGACATCTGTAACTATAAAGTTGACAAAGAACGAATTTAACTCATTTGCTTTATGGTGTAGATCAAGACATCTTTCAATTCAAGCAACATTACTTGCAATTGAGTTGAAAGCTTATGAAAAATTATTTGACAGAAAGGGAAATAATGCAGAATCAATTTCATTCCTTGTACCATTTGATTTAAGAAGATTTCTCCCATTTGAGTCTGATTGTATTGGGTTATTGAGTGAGACAATTTACCCTACATTACCTATCTCAATTATCAACCAATCTATTGAACAGATTTCAATATGTTTAACTAAAAAACTAAAAGAAGTGACAAATATTAATTCAGAAGCATTTGATAGATATCGTGATGCATATTACTGTGGAAATATGGCACTTATGGGAGTAAAACATACATGTTCTGTTTCGAATGTTTCTTCATTTGCTGTAATGAATGGGTTGTCTCAACCATTGAAAGACCGTTTTGTTGATTTTCACATGTCAGGATGTGTTAGAGTGCCATGTAATTCCATGATGGAGGATCTAACTATCCACACATATTCTCTTGTTGATGGATCATTCAATTGCTCTCTGACATATCCATATGGAATTATTCAAACGTCAGTTGCTGAGGCTGTACTGAAGACCTTCAAAGATATTATTAACACAATAAATTAATATCATTTTGAGATAATTCATTTATTAACTCTCTTTTTGTTGAAACAATCAATTAAAGAAGAACAAGAGTATTGTATAACACAGTACATTTTCATTATGGTGTATAAAAAGAATTGTTTATTTAAACAACTCTAACAATTTGCATCTAAATTTGAATTCTTATTTTAGAATAATAAAATGAAGTGATAAAGAATATGAAATAAGGACTAAAAAGATATTCTAATGAAGAGTTATCTCTGTCTTTATTTTAGTATAATAAATAAGAAAGATAATTATTGCATTAATCATGTTTGGTATTCATTAAAAAGTACTCAAGAAATAAAGTTTGAAGTAAAATCTTTTTCTTGATTTAGTAGTAAAAAGACAAACTAATTTAATTCACTTGTAAGAATAAACATGATAAAACATAAATAACTTATAGAAGAAAATATAAATGAAAGAATAATCTACGGAATTAATTAAATCTTTTATTGAGTATCTAAAAAATGTATAATTATTTAAATAAAAACTAAGATATTAAATGTTCAACCTGTTCTATTTTGTTTAACTAATTTGAGAGGTATATACTTGTTTCTTCAATGTTTATACTTTTCAGTGATAGAGATATTGAATATTTCAAAACATCTTTATTATTGAAAGTTTGTTTATTGATAGGTAATTTCAATGGAGAGAATATATTTGATATATTTAGTGTTATAGATAATAAATATCTTGTTACATCTTTGTGTTTTTATGTTAAAACATTTCTAGTAATCAAAGAGTCTTATTTTGTTACAAACTTTAAACTTATTTTTTTTTTCATTAATTATTCTTTAACACAACAAAATAATAAAGAATATAAATATTGTAGTAAGATTTCTTTTGTTTCATATTTATGTGTTGTTGATAATATACACTACAAAAGTCACTCAAAGAAATCAGTTGTTTAACTATGGAATGAATATTAGTTAAATTAGATTCTTTCAATGAAACAAATAAAAATGGAATCAGAATTTTATTCTTAAGTAAAATAAATGATAATATCAATAATATTTATTGTATAGTTTTTCATGAAAGAAAACATAACTATTTCAATGAAAATAATAATAATAAAAATTGAAATGAAGAGTAAAAAAGATATATACTGTGAACAAAAAGTAATTTCAATGTTTTTAATACTGGTAAAGATGAATAAATATTTATTTAATATATTCTAGTATTAACAAAAGTGTACAATGACCATTCGTTAATTTAATGACTTATTTATAGTGATAGATTTGATTAGTTTATCAGTTCTATGAAAGTATTTATCATTTCATTAGATTGGTATGAGTCAATAATTTAATAACATAACTTAGTTTTAATAATTAATAATTTTTAATGAGATATTGATGAATCTAATGAAAAAGAATATATGTTATTAGAATATTATCTATTACTGAATTTATTCATCTTAATATTTATATTTTTATACTTTAAAATGATATAAAAATGAGTTTAAATAAAACTGTTAATTTGAGAGTTATTATTTGAATGTTTTACTTTAGTTATGAGGTGACACAGTATTAGTTTATTTTTATTATTTAATAAAATAACATAATGAATATGAGTATTTCAAATAAAATAAAACAAGAATGAAATACAATCATTTTTATATTCACCATTTCATTCATTGATAGATGAAATGTTCATTGTCTTTGTCATAGGGGTAGTTTGGTTCATTTGTATTGTCCCAGATGATGATACTGTTCTCAGCATTTGTTGTGTATTTATCATTAATATCATTGTTTTCTTCTTCTCTATTTCTAAAATAAAAAAAATAAACAATAAATTGTTGATATTTTGATATTAATTGTTTTTGTTCTTCATTTTCTCTTTGTGTGTGGTCTAATTCTTTTCTTGTTTTTCTGCAATCTCATAGTTTTGAATCGCACTTTTTTGATATTCAGTGATTTGGTTTTATTTATTTCTTATGTTCTTCTTTAACATACTATCATTCTTCATCACATCATTATTTAACTTCTCATATTTAATTAGGAGAGTGATGGTTTCATCCTTGCTTTATGTTTCTGTGTTATTTCTATTTTATATTTAATTTATTTTTGATTGTAATGAAATATTTTATTATTTTA